GATATCAGATATTTACATCGTTTGTTTTGGCCACAAAATGGAATAGTAACATCCTGCAACTTTTGCCACAATTTTATTTTAAGTTATCACTGCGGAGGTGCAAGCCTTCCAAAGAGGTTCGGGACAGCCCGAAAACCCTCTCGGGTCTCCTTTTGCCAGCATTCTTATCTGCAATGTTTTTGCGACAATGCGACATTTGCCACAACCTTAAAAATGTACATTTTAGGGTTTGGTAGTACTGCAAGATCGTTGATGATCATATTACTCTTGAAGTCCCCTTACGACATTTAATGACCAAAGTGCCCAACTGTTCGTTCAACTTGGCTAGCTGGCAACGAAACTTCACCCAGTAGCGTGCTGCATCCCATGCTTTCTTCAAAACTAAATACAGCAGTGAGGTTGGCCAGTTCCTACTGAGGCACATGAGTAACTTCATACATCAGGAGAGGAGATGGCATGACATTTGGAGGAGTTCGTGGGTGTATGGCGGGAGGGGTTTTCCCGCGCTACAAGCATCTGACGTGCGCCGAATTATGACGCACCTTGCAGAGTATCTCGCCTATCGCTCTCGTCGCTATGGCTTCAAGCATTACCTGATTTGAGTTGCAAATTGCATTCTTCCATCGCTTCCCTATTCTGAGCTGTCTTTGCTCCCACAGGTCTTTATAATTTACAGACTTTCACTCTATTCCACGCTTTGACTATTCATTCTCACGATACGCTGCATTCATACTCCATGTCCCTTCTCACCTTCGCCCCGCAAACTCACCCCTCTAGTTCCCTCCAGATGTATATGTGGTCGGGGTGGAGTACCGTCTCCTAACGTTCTGCCAAGTTGGGATATTTAAAAACCGTAGTCATGTGTCTTCACACTACTTCCTTCCCTTTTGCGAAACGTCGGGCTGTTTCGCACTCAGGGTCCAGAGTCATTCGGACACAGAGACAGTATGCTACAGTTAGGACGTTATTGTCACGTAATCCAGGATAGTGTTTCATCCTTTGATTCGCCCAGACAGCGTCCCTGCCCCTGAGGAAGGTCAGTCTTCCCAACGCCGACCGCTTAGGGACTTCATGGCTGGGATTCTTACGCCAGCTTCGCCGAGCACATCTCTCGTTAACGTCTTTACGAGAATCTTGTGACGACTTAGTCGAGTAGCACCTCCCATCACATCTTGTGGGCACCGATCCTGTTTTATGAGAGCCACTCCGCCCGTCTGTGCCGCGCTTCACCTGGCACAGTACATGACAACGGCGCACGGCTCAAGCGTTGTTACCCCGCAGTCCAGTGGCGGCATGTGACGCTGGCGGAAGGAGTGCGATAGAAAAATGCAAGCAATATTGCAATGCTAGCGATGTAAGCTTGGCCTTACATGCTGCCGGACAACGGGATGCACCCTTTGCTATCCCGTATCAGGTGTGTGATGAGATGGGTACTGCCTGCGGTGCATGTGTTTTATCTGATCTAGGTGGATGACGTTCAGCTTGCTGGTATAATTTGCCGGGGATAGGTAGGCAATGTAACATTTTCTACACCTCACATTTGTGGGCTACTCTTAAAAGCGATGACAAATTTGGTCCGGGGCTTTGAGAATAATCGTACACTGCATGCAAACGCTGAATATATCGCCACGAACGAAGGTATGAAATATATTTACCTGACTGGACCGTGCCTTCTTTTTTATTAACTACAGTGTAATAGCGACCCGCGTTTCATACATGCATGGTCGCAGTCATACATGCATGGTCTTGTAGAAACAAGTGGGCGCAACTTTCTGTTCCAGTCTTCGCAATTGCATTACGATACATTTATATGCCTATCCACCCCAATTTCATGTTTCTTGTTAGACCGGTGTCAACGTGTGGCGGCACGTTGTTGCATCGCAGTACTTGCCTTCATCAGGTCACCGCGATCACCGCGTGATTGTCGCAGCATAAACTTCTCGTTCGAGTGAAATATTCTTGGAGGACCTGCGGTAGATCCCGCAGCATAAACGTGACTTTCGAGGTCTGGCCCTGGCGAGTGTCCTGAGGCCTTATCACGTTTGTCTACGTTGTTTTAGAAACCACGGGTCCTACCGATGTCTTGCCCTCGAGCGATTTCGACTGCCCCTATTTGTTGAACATATACAGTGAAATACTGCAACAACACGTTGCACATTTGAAAAGTACTGGTTGCGATAAAACACGCTGCTTGTATTTCGAAAAAACCGTGATAGGAATACCAGATCGGTGGGGGGAGGGGGAGGGGGGGGGGGGGCAGACAGAGTATACACTATGTTGTTTGTGGCAGTGTGCAGCACCCCCTGTGAGTACAGCTGTATTTCTTCAGCCCACTGGTTAGAAAAAATACTTCTAAGAAAGTCCGTTGTCCTTCGGATATGTTTATTTATATGGCCTTAACTAGGACCGTACACGGCGCATTGATCTGGACGCTCTTTCGGCACCGTGGTTGAAGGAAACTAATCGGTGTCCTTTGTCAATTATGACACCGCATAGCAGAGTACGCTGCATGCGCACAGATAGCATGCACATAGAGTGCTGGACACCACAGATGCCGACTGTATTGTGTGCATGGCATGGGCCATGCCTGGGAGTCGAGGCATGAGTACAGCAGACCCATCGCACGGCACGCCAAGAGGGCATAATAATATCGTGGTGCAGCCAAGATGGACAAAGGAAAAAATATTCGGCTTAAGAAAACATGCGATCGTAGAAGAAGCCTGGCTGTAAAATAAAAAAAATAGCTGCTAGGCTGATTAAAGACCAGGAACGGCCAAAGGAAGTGTGGTGGTCACACCACGGAAACTGCACGCGAGTCATAAGATAGCCTGCAGGGGGTCTCACCCATAGCAAGCCACGTTCATCTGTTGCTCTGACATGCAGCGCAGAACGGACAGCATATTGCAAACATGTTACGAGGCCTATCACAACACAATGGGCAATGCACGGGAACGCGCAATGTACCGACATTTCAAGTCGATCCCAACTCGGGCTTGACCAGTAGAAAATATTGTTACAAACTCTACAATACTCACATTACATGGGATAAAATTAGTTTAAATTATCAAACAGAAGAAGTGCACATCACACAACTACCATTACACACGCCATTCGGACCTTTACAGTCGGCGCAGCGGTCTCAGCAAAACAAAACAAGAACAGATCACAGAGGGAACTAGGCCTGGGGCAGGATCACGGCGGGCGCCAGCCTGCCGGCCTTGGGTGTGACTCCGGTGATGACGGGCAGAGAGCTGGCGGGCGCGGCGTCCCTGCGCGGCTCCCGCGCCGGCCAGGAGGCGGCCGCCGGCGCCGGCCGCGGCTCCGGGCGCGGCGCGGCGCTGGCCGGCGAGCGAGCCGCCGCCGGCGCCGCCTGGTCGCCAGGCGGCGCCAGCTGCGCGCCAGGGGCCGCTGCCGGCGCGGACGGCGCGCCGCCGGCGGGCGACTGGCCTGGCGTCAGCCATTTGCGGATGGTGAGGCGCACCAAGCCGTCCGGCTGCTTCTTGAGCAGCGTCCAGGCCTCGATGCGCGCCATGTGCGTGATGTCCTGGTCGTTGATGGCCAGGATCTGGTCACGCACTTGCAGCAGGCCGCTCTTGTCGGCGGCACCACCTGCGGCGGTGGAGCAGACCGTAGCGACGTCGGTTGTACCGACTAAAACAATGTAACGAACTCCATTTGTTATATATATATATATATATATATATATATATATATATATATATATGTATATATATGCATACACATATAACGAATGGCCCTATATATATATAACAAATGACCCTATATACAACATATATAACCAATGCTATATATATATATATATATATATATATATGTTATATAAAATATTGTTACATACACATGTGTATATATAAACGGATTCCAGTTTGGACACACTTGTGGCTTTGGGCACCGGTACTTCCCATGGGGACCTTATAGCGCGTACTCCAAGCCCATCAGCCATGTTCTACTGCTCCATGCCCTTGGACTGTTTTGTCACCACCTTATTACTTGGAAAGCGCTGCATAAAGTTTTTCGACCATATAATTCTACCACTCGGTTACCCCATGTCACATAAAATGTTTTGGCCATTCATTTCAATAAGTTTACACTTTATTTTGTCGGGAATTACATCACAGTAGATGAGTTTCATTGCAAAGCGGCAAAGTTACTCGGGTCCACACACTCTGCAATGCTCTGCAAGTGTATGATGCTACCAATGTGAATTATCTACAGCATAACTTACACACTGCGTCGGTTGCCTTTCTTACACTGACTAAATATGTGCGTTAAATTGACCGTCTAATGTTCAATTCACCGACAAACGCGTTTCGACGCGCATCGGACGCGCGTGAAAAAACCCACGCCATCATGACAAAAAGCGTGACGTGCAATATACACCCTTGGGCACTCAAACTGAAATACAATAGGGTGTTGACCTGAGGTGTGACTTACATTGCTTGTCACAATGCAAGTCACACCTCACTGCCAAAACCCGCTAAATCATCTGAAGTATTCAGGTATGTAAAAAATTGGTAATCGATAAACCACCGTTTATCTTCTACAAGTGTGGCAGAGTTACGTGCTAGGCGTTGAAACATAAACCACCAATCCTTGAGGTCTTCTTCTCTAAGAGTGACCAGCGTGACCAAACAAGACACGAAAGAAGAAAGCATATCCTGTTTGCAGCCGCGGTGGCTGTCCAAAGTGTGACAGATTCAACAACAGTATGACGCAGGCATACTTAACGGCTTACAGTCTGAGGTGTGTCATGTGTCACCGCCAGCGTAAAACACTGATATCTACGATAGCGAGCTCTCAACAAATCGGGTCAGCGCTAAGCCGGATGTTATCAGCTTCGAGACACGCTCTGCAGTGGATTGCTTGACTGCTACTCCGATCCTAACGTCAGGCATAGAGACAGTGTCGCAGTGTGAGTACCCACTGCGGGAGGCGTAGAGGCCGTCTGTCGCAGTGTCAGTGCCCATTGCGGCAGGTGTAGAGGCCGTCTGTCGCAGTGTCAGTGCCCACTGCGGCAGGTATAGAGGCCGTCTGTCGCAGTGTCAGTGCCCACAGCAGCAGGTGTAGAGGCCGTCTGTCGCAGTGTCAGTACCCACTGCGGCGGGTGTAGAGGCCGTTTGTCGCAGTATCAGTGCCACTGCGGCAGGTGTAGAGGCCGTCTGTCGCTGTGCCAGTGCCCATTGCGGCAGGTGTAGAGGCCGTCCGTCGCAGTGTCAGTGCCCACTGTGGCAGGTGCAGAGGCCGTCTGTCGCAGTGTCAGTGCCCACTGCGGCAGGTGTAGAGGCCGTCTGTCGCTGTGCCAGTGTCCATTGCGGTAGGTGTAGAGGCCGTCTGTCGCAGAGTCAGTGTCCATTGCGGCAGGTGTAGAGGCCGTCTGTCGCAGTGTCAGTACCCACTGTGGCAGGTGCAGAGGCCGTCTGTCGCAGAGTCAGTGTCCATTGCGGCAGGTGTAGAGGCCGTCCGTCGCAGTGTCAGTGCCCACTGTGGCAGGTGCAGAGGCCGTCTGTCGCAGTGTCAGTGCCCACTGCGGCAGGTGTAGAGGCCGTCTGTCGCTGTGCCAGTGTCCATTGTGGCAGGTGTAGAGGCCGTCTGTCGCAGAGTCAGCGTCCATTGCGGCAGATGTAGAGGCCGTTTGTCGCAGTGTCAGTGCCCACTGTGGCAGGTGCAGAGGCCGTCTGTCGCAGAGTCAGTGTCCATTGAGGCAGGTGTAGAGGCCGTCTGTTGCAGTGTCAGTGTGCATTGCGGCAGGTGTAGAGGCCGTCTGTCGCAGTGTCAGTGTCCATTGCGGCAGGTGTAGAGGCCGTCTGTTGCAGTGTCAGTGTGCATTGCGGCAGGTGTAGAGGCCGTCTGTCGCAGTGTCAGTGTCCATTGCGGCAGGTGTAGAGGCCGTCTGTTGCAGTGTCAGTGTGCATTGCGGCAGGTGTAGAGGCCATCTGTCGCAGTGTCAGTGTCCATTGCGGCAGGTGTAGAGGCCGTCTGTTGCAGTGTCAGTGTGCATTGCGGCAGGTGTAGAGGCCGTCTGTCGCAGTGACAGTTTCCATTGCGGCAGGTGTTGAGGCCGTCTGTTGCAGTATCAGTGTGCATTGCGGCAGGTGTAGAGGCCGTCTGTTGCAGTATCAGTGTTCACTGTGGCGGGTATAGAGACAGACCGTCGCGGCGTCAGTGTCCTCTGCGGCGGGCCGTACCTGTGAAGATTTTCTTGGCGACCAGCGGCCGGTCGCCGAGCGGAGAGTCTCGGCCGCCCTGCAGGCTGAAGCCCAGCCCGGCGCCCTCCTTCTGCAGCGTGATGACGATCGGCGGGCCCCGCGAGCCGTCCTCCGCCTCCAGCTCTGGGGAACGGTACCGGTGCGGTCAGAGAGCACGGGGACAGTCGGTACAACCCACTCCCGCCTCCAGCTCTGGGGGGTGGTGCCGGTGCGGTCAGAGAGCACGGGGACAGTCGGTACAACCCACCCCCGCCTCCAGCTCTGGGGGGTGGTGCCGGTGCGGTCAGAGAGCACGGGGACAGTCGGTACAACCCACCCCCGCCTCCAGCTCTGGGGGGTGGTGCCGGTGCGGTCAGAGAGCACGGGGACAGTCGGTACAACCCACTCCCGCCTCCAGCTCTGGGGGGTGGTGCCGGTGCGGTCAGAGAGCACGGGGACAGTCGGTACAACCCAACCCCAGCCTCCAGCTCTGGGGGGGTGGTGCCGGTGCGGTCATGAGAGCACGGGGACCAGTCGGTACAACCCCCCCCGCCCCAGCTCTGGGGGGTGGGCCGGTGCTGGTCAGAGAGCACGAGGGCAGTCGGTACAACCCACCTCCGCCGCCAGCTCTGGGGGGTGGTGCCGGTGCGGTCAGAGAGCACGAGGGACAGTCGGGTACACAAACCCACCCCGCCTCCAGCTTCTGGGGGGTGGTGCCGGTGCGGTCAGAGAGCACGAGGGACAGTCGGTACAACCCACCCCCCGCTCCAGCTCTGGGGGGTTGGTTGCCGGTGCGGTCAGAGAGCACGAGGGACAGAGTCGGTACAACCCACCTCCGCCTCCAGCTCTGGGGGGTGGTGCCGGTGCGGTCAGAGAGCACGGGGACAGTCGGTACAACCCACCCCCGCCTCCAGCTCTGGGGGGTGGTGCCGGTGCGGTCAGAGAGCACGAGGGCAGTCGGTACAACCCACCTCCGCCTCCAGCTCTGGGGGGTGGTGCCGGTGCGGCAGAGAGAGCACGAGGGGACAGTCCGGTACAACCCACCCCCGCCTCCAGCTCTGGGGGGTGGTGCCGGTGCGGTCAGAGAGCACGAGGGCAGTCGGTACAACCCACCCACGCCTCCAGCTCTGGGGGGTGGTGCCGGTGCGGTCAGAGAGCACGAGGGCAGTCGGTACAACCCAACCCCGCCGCCGGCGCTGGGCGGCGATGCCGGTACGGTCAGATGGCACGGGGGCAGTCGGTACAACCCAACCCCGCCGCCGGCGCTGGGCGGCGATGCCGGTACGGTCAGATGGCACGGGGGCAGTCGGTACAACCCACCCCCGCCTCCAGCTCTGGGGGATGGTGCCGGTGCGGTCAGAGAGCACGAGGGCAGTCGGTACAACCCACCCCCGCCTCCAGCTCTGGGGAACGGTGCCGGTGCGGTCAGAGAGCACAGGGGACAGTCGGTACAACCCACCCCCGCCTCCAGCTCTGGGGGGTGGTGCCGGTGCGGTCAGACAGCACGAGGGCAGTCGGTACAACCCAACCCCGCCGCCGGCGCTGGGCGGCGATGCCGGTACGGTCAGATGGCACGGGGGCAGTCGGTACAATCCACCCCCGCCGCAGCCGGCGGGGGGGGGGGGGGCGGTGCGGATATTGTCACACGGAGTGCACGCGTGCAGCACGGCCCGTCCTCCGTCCCCACCTCTGAGAGCGTTGGGGGGGGGGGGGATAGTTGCCAGACGGACGACGCGCACACATGTGCACAATCAGTGCGACCCGTCAGGGGGTGGCATCGGGCATGACCGGCGCTAACGACGTCTGGTTTGCTCATTGTCAATACAGCCAGCGCTGCTATCAGCGTTGACTTACGTCAGGCGGCGGTTATCAATGTTGCCACGACATTCGACGCCGGAGTGGCAAGGCTGGACAGATACGCTGCCCCAGAGACCCTCGCACGTCCGGTTACATATCTCGTTAGTTCTCGTTACGGGTTCAACGAGGGGCCGAAGATGGGCTTCGATACCGGGCAGAGAGCGAGCCGACATATCAAAGATGGCCTCTGCGAACCACGTGCAACACAGATCAGCTCAGGAAGTTCAGCCGATGGATGTCTCAGTACTTTTGTCGATTTCAAGCCATAACAACAGCGTAGCACAGTACGGAAAAAGCAAAGACAAGCGAGGTGATTGGATTCTGCGAGGGATTGTGAAAAAAGTAAGAGTGGATGGTCCCCGCGAGGCCCAGACAAACTGAGATGCAGCTGGCACGGCTTATCAAGTGGCAAGCGTCTGCCACCAGCGCGGACATTTCGAAAGGCAGAAGAACATGTGCAGGTGCATTGGTCTTTCAACTCTTCTCTACGTCATGCCGTGTACGCTGACTACTCTGGCCGTTGTGTGGCCCACGTGATTAATGATCCGATGTTATCCCATGTTATCCAATGTTATCCGATGGTATCCGATGTTATCTGATGGCATCCGATGTTATCCGATGGCAGGCAAGGCCGGCTTCGAGACCACCTGAGAGCGAGGCTTACCCGAGGCGAGGCTCTTGTTATCCATCGGACTTTCGAGGATCTTGGGCGGTCGGCTGCTGATGCTGCTGATGGAGGGCCGCTGGTAGCCGCCCTCGTCCGAGGTCGGGTCGTGCGGGGTCACTGACCTCGAGCGCGACAGCACCAGCACCACTTCGGAGCGCGGCGCCTGCGGTGGACACGTCGCATGTCACACGCTACCGAGGCTGGTCGCACGCCAAGGACACGTCACACATCGTGAAGACGCAGAATCCACTCTGGCTTCTTGAAGCGTTGTATGCAGCCAGCGCAACTGTTGTGGACACTCCACATTGTGTCCCGACAGATCGCTCGCGATAGATGCGTCGCAACACCTCATATGCTCAGTGTATGCTGGATGTGTCACTCAAGACGTAGTAAAACGCATGTTGTACACACAGACAAGCGGGGAACTGTTACCAATTTAAGTTATCTGGCTCGAATGATATCTGGTGCCTTGGAGGGTGTCCACTGAATGCACTGTCCCTGGCCCTGGTCTCAAGGCGTACACAGGCTGGGTCTGCGTCTTTCCCCCGTCAAGCAGAGCCATCAGGACCCAAAACTTGACTTCGATGCGACGTTTGGTTGTCGCGAGGTTATTCCTTCGGAAGGACTCTGGAGACGGGAAGACACTCATGGGACAGGTAGATGCACAGAAATTGACATGACCTTGACCTTGGCCTGACCTTGAGTGTGTTGAGCGCCTCACGGTGGGACATGCCCTTGGATGACCGGCCGTTGATGGAGATGACTCGATCACCCTTCTTGATCCTTCCGTCGCGGTCCGCCACCGACCCCGTGATGACTTTGTTGACCTGGGCACACGCGGCAATACATCATAGCTTGCGTCATCAACTTGTCAGCATCATCATCGCCAGCCTGTATCGGATGTTCTCAAAACGCTTCGTCATATGCCACATGGTTGCCATGGTTGTCAGAAAAAGTTTTGTGCTCTGTATGCCAACAGGAAACGATTTCGTCAATGTGGTCGGTATCATAGTGCCTAATCGTGCACATGATGATTCGTGGAGCGCATTTTGACTTCGATTATGACACTAGACGCCAACAGTTCGCGATAAGTATCACTTCAGTGAATGGTTTTGTGTTACAGCGTGCACTAAGCGTACATTACAATAAGAGCATCCAAGTAAGTATTGACAACTGTTTCGATATAGCCTCAAAGCGCACGAACGTAGGAGAAACAGCGAAACAAATCTAGAAATCTTGAACACATTTAGTCACAACTCCTCTAGCACCAGGACTCCCGCTCACTCAAACAAACATCCAACGGACCACTACACAAGAAGGCGTCTGTGAAGAAAGCATTACACCGAAATACCGCGCCTCAAGCTTTAGCATCACCGCAGCTCACATCGCCGGTGACATTTCGTGAGCAAGGCGAGACCATTATTCCCCAAAAACATCGGGCCGATTGTCCGCGCGGTGTCGTGCGAGCTTGAACAGCGTTGCCGTAAACATCGCAGTCCGCGTTTTGAGTTTGCGACTGTCTGTACAGGTGCTGAGAAGCTCAATATCAGTATGCACGAAAAACAGAATGCCACTTTGGAAAGCGTATCTATCTATCTATCTATCTATCTATCTATCTATCTATCTATCTATCTATCTATCTATCTATCTATCTATCTATCTATCTATCTATCTATCCATCCATCCATCCATCCATCCATCCATCCATCCATCCATCCATCCATCCATCCATCCATCCATCTATCTATCTATCTATCTATATATATATATATATATATATATATATATATATATATATATGTCATGAATTGGTCAATATGCTAGAAGCTGATCCTGTCGGCAACGCTCGAAACATCCGCCACAGCACTACTGCCCACAGCGACATCCCAAGACGGCAGCACCGCCACCAGCACCAGTGTTGGTATGTAGTGCCGCACCCCGCGCCTACCCAGTGCTGCGCCGCCACAGAGCCGACGGCGGCCGCACTCACCGATATCTCCTTGTTCTCGTAGTCGGCGCCGCCGGCCAGTGTGACGCCGATGCTGCCACCCATCATCTCGCGGTGCACCACGGCCACGATGATTTCGTGGGAGGGTGTGCCGGCCTCCTCCAGGCTCTGGTTGGCTTCCTCGATTAGCTGTTGCAGCTCCTGCGGCGGAAGACGTGGCCGTGTAAGGCGGGGGCTGGTGGGACGCCGGCGTCGCCGCGCCGCGTCAGCCGGCCGTGACGTCACAGACCGCCGCCAGAACGAGACACGTCGTGTGTTTGTAACTGTTTGCCACCGCGTGTTCCGTCACTGCACGCTGCGTTGCGCTGTGGACTGCCTGTTGCGCCGGGTGCTGTAGGCTCTAATGTGCTGCGTGCCGCGCTGTGCGCTGTGCGCTTAGCACACTGTGCCGCATCATGGGCCGTGGCTGTGATCCCGTGTTTTGTACCGCGGGATGTGATCCTGACACGGGATCATAGGTAGCGTCCCACTGGCTATGGTCCTGTGTGGTGTGCTGCGTGCTGTGATCCCACGTCGGGTGTCTTTGACAAGGATTACGTGTTGCCTACCACAAACCGTCGACAGTGCCTTTGTGCCTTCGCCGCCGACTGTAATTCTGTGATCCCACACAGCACGTCGCTGTCCGTCATTCCATGGCATGTGCCGCAGGCTGTGATCCTGTGCGGGGCGGCGCTGGCCTTGATCCCCGTGCCGCATGATGCTGGCCTTGATCCCCGTGGTCGAGTGCCGCACGTGGTCGCATGAGATCAGGGAGGCTGGAATGGCGGTGCGGCTACGGAGCCGCGCTATGCAACAGTGCAAGCCGACCACCGGACCGGGAGAATGCAGCGCAACATCCTGCCGATCGGCACCGCGTGCAGCAGCATTCAGCTGCCGCGCCTGGCGCAGGATAATTGGAAGATAACATAATCTGATGTGTGGTGGCCGTGCTTGTGGCGTCTTTCGTTTCCCTCACGCTTTTTGCAGACGGATTCGGTTCATGCGTGGATACTCGCGCGTGCATTTCCGGCATGCGAGCGTGCAGCCACGTCGCTACATCTGCGGAGGCTCACAAATCTGCGGAGGCTCGCAAATGCTGGGATTCACGATCCGTTGGGTGACGCGCAGATACCCCATGTGAGGCTCGGTTCGGGACAACGACCTGACTTAATAAAACGCTAACGATTTACGTAACTGGCGTTATCTCGATGGGACCCGGGTCATGCTCATGACAGCGGACGGGATGCCGGGGTTAGTCACGCGTCATCGGAAGAGTTGGCGAAGACATTCCTGGAAGGACCGGTACGAGACAGCAGATGGTATTCGGAGAATACTTCAGCGCAAACAAAATGTGTCCAATCAAATCATGCCACTCGGGCGCACACGCCAAATTGGAAAGACACGATCGCTGATTAGCCGAATGAAGAGTTTGAGCATGGTCTGACCCTATGTTATAGACCGTCGGCTAGAGAAGAATCCGGCGAACACCGGAGCGGCTTTCACGCCGCAACGTGTCATTAACCATGCTTTTTAATGTCCTGTCGAAACCATTTGTCCGCGTCGGATCTGATGATCGCGCGCTTGGAAAGCTATGGGAAGACTAGAGAGCAACTAATATCTCTTCCCGCCGCAGATTGATCACAGGCTCCTAATGGCACTATCGAAATAGGTGTTGAGGCTCTCAACCATCCACCCAGGGGATGCGCAGTTCCGGCCGGCGGTGAAAACTTTAGGACAGATTTAACAGGGAGTGGGGCAATGGGGATCCAAGCCACGCGTAGCATGAGAAAAGAACACCGGGAATATGTGGGACACCAAGAGGGTCTGGTTTAGCGGTGTGTTGAGGCCACCTGCACGAACCTCTGCGGACTATGACGGTGCAGCGACGGCACCGCCAGGCGGGAGTACCTCGGTCCGACCAGCGGAAGCAGACCTCTAGCAACGTCCGGCCGCACAAAAATGACGCAGGACCACTCCCACAAATGGCGGATCCCGATTCAGGGGCGGCGACGGCGGCACACGAGCCGCTGACGGCGTGGGAGCGGCACCGAACGGCACCAGCTGCGCCCCACCCACGGGCGTCGGGCCACCCTCCGCCCCGGCCTTCAGCCGTCAGGAGCTGGCCATCACACGGACCGAGTGGCGGACGGACGAGCTGATGGAGACTGATGGAGTGGACGGAGGAGATGACAGGGTCGGCGGCTGGGCGGCGCACAGATGGACTGGCCAGGCCAGCGGCGGCATGATACACGGCCTGACTGGTAACCACGTCGGGCGGCCGAGCAGTAATTGCCGGGTGGCGGACAGACAATTGCAGCTCACTGTCCGGGAGAGCTGACTTGATAACGATCGCATACGAGGGTCAGACGAACTTAGAATAGCAACAGTCGTGCATCAGGCGTATGTACTGATACAGGCGGTAGGTGGAGGCGCAGAAGTACGAGCGGATGATAGCTCATGTGTGAGGTATACTTGAACTGATAATGATGTGGCTGTATCACCATTGTATACACCGGTAATGAAAGCACATGTGAAACAGGCAAATGAGCTGATAATAGCGTTGTCTGCGCCGGTCTATGCGACGGAAATGCAAGCTAATACTCGCCGAGTAACGGGCACAATACGTCATTTCGGGTAATGACGTAATGATAATGATGCCTGGTGGCGTCGGCCGTCCGACGGATGGCCAAGCTGAAAGTGACTACGTGACGAACAACCGAGCTCACAATGACTGTGTGACAGACACCTGAGGTCATGATGACTGCGTGACGGATAGACGAGGTCCATAAGGACTGTGTGACGAGTCGCGCTCCTAAGGACTTTGGCCGGATGTCCGAGCTGAAAACGAGTGTGGGATAGAGTTGTCAGTGTGATGAGTTCACACTCGTCGCACTTAGTGTGACGAGTTCACGCTGACGTCACGGTAACCAGATGAGATGCATACGCATGTGGAGCTAAGGAACAAGCGGCCCGCGCGTCTGCCCGCCGAGTCGACTCACGTGCGGCGAGATGAGGCTGGTAGAGGACGCCAGGGACGTGATGCTGCCGTAGTGGTCGCGGGTGGAGGTCGGTGACGCCATGGACCCGCCGCCCGACAGCAGCAGGCCCGGCCCGTCCTCGCTGAAGGTCGAGTCCAGCGAGGACATGCGCGCGTGGCCAGAGCTGGCCGGCGCGCCGTGCGGCCGGCCGTCCCAGCGCTCGAACGCCCGCCGCAGGTCGCTGACACTCAGCACGTGACGAGAGCGGGCCGTCTGCTTCAGGTTGGCCGTGAGCATCTCCAGCAGACTGCTGGTAGAGCCGCTGGGCGACTTGGTACCGTCCAGCGCGTCCATGATGTTCTCCTGGCTGGAGGTGGCGCTGCCGCGCTCCAGGTAGCCACCCAGCTCGAAACCGCGCGCCTCGCGCTCGCTCTCCACCCAGCTGTGCGGCCGCGTCGGCACCGAGTCCTTACGCTCGCGCAGCTTCAGCTCGGCCGTGCTGTAGCTTGGCGTACTCAGCTTGCGGTCAAAGCCGGCGCGCTCCTTCTCGATCGTGGGCCAGCCGCTGTCCAGGCCGTCCCGCGACCCGGACGACGGCGAGGGCGAGGGCGACGGCGAGGGCGACGTCGGCGGGTCACCGGCCGGGTCGGACCGGCTCGGGGACGTGCGTGGCGACAGGCCTGTCGGCGTCGTGTCCGACACGTCGCTCAGCTGCTGCCACTTTTGCTTCAACGACTTCACGCTGGCCTTTGTGACCTGGCGCAGCTTGGCCAGGTCGCGCGTCTCGCCGCAGGACTGTGCCGGGCCGCGCCGCCCGCCGGCCACGCCGTGCTTCCGCCAGGCGCCGTCGTCCAGGATTCGTGGCGGCGAGCCGGACGCCTTGGCCAGCCTCTCGCCGCCGGAGGGTGCCGCCCTCGGCGCTGGGTCGTTGCACACCGGCAAGCGAGCCTCCGGCGACGAGTCGCTGTCTTTCCTCTCGGCCGAGCGCGGCTCCAATATGGAGTCGATGCCCTTTCTCTCAGTCTGGTGCAGCTCCTGCGCGGGGTCACCGCTCTTCCTCTCGAGCCGCTGCGCATCTCGCGCGGAGTCACTGCTCTTCCTCTCGAGCCGCTGCGCGCCCCGCGCGGGGTCACTGCTCCTCCTCTCAGCAGGGCGTGATTCCATCACAAAGTCACTGTCCTGTCTCTCCGGTCGCTTCACCTCTGGCGCGGAATCACTGCTCTTCCCTTCCGGTCGGTTCGCCTGCAGGGCAAAGTCGCTAACTCTTCTGCCCAGCGGGCCGCTGCTCTTCCTGCCCGACTGGGGCTCCTCCAGCGCGTCGCTGCTCTTCCGTTCCGCTCTGTGCGCGTCGGCGGCCCGCAGCAGCTCCTCCTCCACGTCCAGATCCTTAACGGGTGAGTCGTGCAGCGTGGACGTGCTAGCGCGGTGGTCATAGTCGACACTGCCGGCGCGGTCGCGCGCCGCCAGCTCCAGCTCGGCTTCGGGTTCGTCCACGAGCGTCAGTGTCGAGCCATCCAGGTCGGCGTCGGCCGGCTCCAGCCGGTCGCGCAGGTCGGCGACCACGTCGTCGGACGCCTTGCGGCGCGGCGAGCTGCAGGCCGTCAGCGGCCGCGAGTTGAGCGAGCTGCTGCGCTGCAGGGGCTCGCGGCCTTCCTGGCAGGCGGCCGGCAGGCGCGGTCGCGGCGCACGAGGCTCGCTCCGCCGCTCAGCCGGCGCCGCCTGGTCGCGACGAGACGGCCGCGACAGCTCGACCGACGAGCCGCCCATCTTGGAGGAGCAGGAGACCAGGTGGAAGGCGGAGGCGGACGCACCGTGCGAGGAGTGGACTGAGATGTTCTTGCGCTTGAAGGCCGGTGAGTATTTCTGGATGTTGGGCGATTCACCCTTCCAGGGTGGGGAGGTCAGTCGACGCGAGTCGGTTCTCTCCGGCCTAGAAGCTATCGGCTGCTTTATCCGAGGGCTTGAACAACTGGTAGTCGAGGCCCGGAAGCTAGATGAGCTCAGTCCCGAGAGATTTTTGCTCTTGATGGTAGGCAGATCGACAGGACCCTTCTTCATGAAGCCATCCACCTTATCCGGGATCACCAGGCCACGGAGTCTGGACAGGCTGCGTCTTCTCTCTTCTGAAATGGAATTGAGCGAAACCTTCCTGGACAAGTCGCATGCATGGCTAGAGTAGCTATATCCCCGCTCGTGAAGACCTGCAAAGCTGTGCCTTTTCTCAGGATGCATCAGATCAAAGAGGCTTTGCGACCGTTCTGACAGTGGACCCGGCGAGGCCTCTCGAGGGCTCGACTGTCCCGAGAGGCCGCTTAGAGACTCTGAGTGCGGCGTTGGCAGGTCCTGGGATCCGTCCACATGTGAAGAGGTGTCCAGAGGTGGCGACTTGACACGCAGCTCCTCTGGACCTTTCTCATCACTGGACCTGCGATCCACGCGGGCCTTTCGTTCATCATTGGCCCTGTCTTTGTTGCTGGTCAATCGCACATCACTGGTGCGTGGAGTGTCATGAGCTTTTCTTTCCGCAAGGTGCATGTTTACCATACTGCCGAACCTGCTCCCACGTGGTTCAGATATATTCTTTCGCCTTGATGCATTTTCACCGACGCTATTTTTTCCAGTCTCTTTAACGGGCAGTCGTAGGTCTGATTTTGACCGAGCCTGCGATCCTGACGCACTGCGCAGCTCCAAGTCATAGTCTAAGCTCTTGTGCTTGTGCAGTTTCGGATGCGGCGGCGCCAGCTGCTCAACAGACTGACTGGAGAACAACGCGATCTTGTCCTTAACGCTGACCTTCCCTCGAGAGCCCTTTGCTAAGGCGCTCGCTCTCACCCCGGCCGTCGCCTTCAGAAGATCGTCCACGCTCTGGCGCTGCCTGTCATCAGCTCGTCTGGCCACCGCCGCCCCCGCCGTCACGATCTGCCTGCTGTCGTCGCTCACGGCGTTCAGCGACTCGGACCTCTGGTACCGGCCACGGGTCTCCGGACCCGGCCCAGGGTTCGCTGCGGCCTCCTGGTCCTCGGACGCGGCCGAGCCGTCGCTGAAGCCGGAAGGCGGCTGCAGCAGCAGGTCCGGATCGTCGGACGGAGGCGGTGTCGCCGCGGTGGTGGTGCCGCCCAGCGGCGACTCGCTGAAGTTCGGCGGGAACTCATGGCCGTCAGGCGGCAGGCGCGCGCCCGTTGGCGGCGGCGAGTCGCGGCGGCGGCGATCGTCGGCGGCCGGCGAGTCTCCGCCGCACGCCTCCGGACTGGAGCGGCCCTCGAGGTCGGCGTCGCCGCCCGCGCGACCGCAGGAGTCGGACTCCCCGCTGCCGTGTCGCTCGGAGACGCTGGAGTGTTGCTCGGGCTCGGACTCGCAGTCCGGCCGGTCGGGCTCACTGCTGGCGTAACGCAGGAGACGGGTGCCGCCACCGCCGGCGGACATCGGTGGGTGCTGCCGCCGTGCTGTTGTCGCAGAGTTTGGCTCCAGCGGCGCGGCAGCCGCATCTGAAATGGAATGACGCACAAGATGACTAACCAGGCTCAGCGGCTTGTTTCACCGCCATTGGGTTCTCCACGGGAGAACATGTTGTCAAACAACACTGCCCTCACCCATCATCCGATCGGACGACAAACTCTCATCAATCGAAGGCCTTCAAGGACTGAAATTGGCCGTCGTTGCCACGCTTGACTTGCTTACTTTGTGAACCTCGCTGTTTTGCAGGCGGGAACTCACGCTGAGCATGTTTTCACGCCAACTAGCCCGGAATCTCGTGATTTCAGCGATTCTAGCAGAACAATCATGGTTTTTTGCAACCACTGACCGTGCCTTCATTGGGTTTTAGCGATATACCTAAGCACTATTATTCAAAAGTCATGACGTAACGTACCTCAGGCATGCGAGCTAGGCATGTGATTGTCATGCAGCAAAGCAACACGACCAAAATTTAATCCATTACATTCCATGGACACGAGAACCGCTCAAATCGATTATTTCGAAAAAGCTGCCAACACTTGTCGGGGCCAGTTCAGATCATAACAATCTGGGGTCGTAGAAACACAAGGCCGACATGACTTGGCAGAGCGAAGGACGAGCAGGGTACCGGCACACACCGTCATCAGTTCCTATGGCAGGTGTTGTGTACTCGAGCGCAAGCCATGGATACACCTGCTTAGGGCGTTCTCAAGGATTACGAGGCGTTGGCAACCAAACGAGATTAATGTCTAACCCAGCTACATAGCACAAGCGATTGTACCATCCACAACATTGGCCAGCCCTATTGTCAGTCAATTTTCAGCCGTGCTTTGAGAGTTAGCACGTGAACACTTCATCAGTACACCGCGTTGCTTGTTTACTGTTCATTACTCACTCTCATGAAATACGGACATTCCGATTCGCTGGCAAACTCATTTGTCTGAGTCTACAAACGCGCCAGAAGCCATTTGGCGGTGCTTTGGCATCATGATGTCATGCAACACTCATCTCCGTCGCCACCTCTCTCGCCTCACGCCAAAGAAGGCATCTTAATGGTCGTAAGCCGTATTTGACAGCGTCGGCTCCAGCCTCCAGAGGCGTTGGCGAGGGAACTAATCCACGAATGGAGGGCTCAAGTGGGAAGATGACCGGTTTCTTCGCATGCCACCCCATGGTTTAAGGCTAAATTTGTCACTGGCTGGGGTAGGAAGTTCCAGGCGCAAGGCTCTCTGCTTCAGTCTAATCCTGCAACCGCGTAAGTCGGGCACAAATACCAAATACAGTGGGCATCACTAAGCCACTGCAAACATGTTTTCTGATTCCTGTCGACGCGCCAGCTGCAACAAGGCATTCGCTTATTTTTATAGCCACAGTTCCATTCACAAGGAGCTGCAATCCCTGCGTTCCACTTTTCGTAAACAAATCATCAACAAACAACGGACAATTCGTCTCGTGTTACCTTCACAGTCCCGACTCTCGAGGCCATGGCCAAATACAGCGTGTTGTCACGAACCGTCTCGTGCTGCAACTTCCGTTCGTGGCGGCACGGGTGCATGACCCTCTCCAACCGGTTCTAACCGACTGCTAGCCCGAATAATCTCCAACCATCTGCAACGTCCTGCGGGTCGACACTTCATCTATGGCCATCCGTGAGCAGAGAATGCCTTCAAGCTACCGTGACTGCCCACGATCGGCTGGCTGGTTCTATCCTAGGCGTGCAACGAGAGAGAAGCCAGCTGCGCGACAGAGCCTGACACCCGAGTCATTCGCCAGTGTGCGAAACTGCACGGCGTGTTTGTTGTTCTTCTCGGATTCCTACCCAGCCGCGAAAGGAAAAACAGCGCCGGTGTCTGGAGTAGGCCGCGGACTGGGCGTCTCCCGCTGAGCTCAGCACCCCCGATGCCAACGGATGGGTGAGGCAGGCGGCACCTGCACCCTCCCACAGTGGCACGCGCCAGCCGCCGGTCCACTGGTTGCTCGGCCACCATGGGCCGATGACCCGCGCGCCGGGCGGCGGGCGGCCGACGGCAGCGCGGCGTTGAGCGGCGGGCGGCGGGCGGCGGGCGGGCGGCGCGGCTCAGGTGACCGTGCAGCTCCGGTGCGTGGCCAGCCGTTCGGCGAGCTGCTCCCACGGCGCACGTCTGCCCCCGCCTCCCACGCCAGCCGCTGGGCCGCCGCGGCGCCCACGCACGGCCTCGTGGCCCGGGCGGGGCGGCGCGGCGCGGCGCGCGGTCGACCGCACCCAACGGGACCGCCCCGAGGTGCGCACGGTCTGGGCGGGTGCGGCTCGGCCTGGCTGGCCTGCGCGCCGCCGGCGGCCGACGGCAGGCGGACTAGCGGCGAGAGGACTGAACGCCGCTGACCCTAGCACGACCCGCAGGCGGAGAGCACCTCCGGGCAGCTGGACGGCCAGCGCTTCACACTGAACAGTGCACGCTGATGGTGCGAAGGGAGACGAGGACGAGGCGCCAGTGGACGCCGCTCGCCACGCAGGTCCGGCCGTGGTCCCGGCGCGTTATTATTGCTCCACGCGCTGGAGCGCGCAGGCAGCGGAGGGAAGAGGGCGGGCTGTTCATTTCTCAGACCTGCCCAGTGGCTAAGTAACACGGGAGACGGGATTGGATGAGAGGGAGCCTCGAGAAGGTAGAGATCGCCTGCTTCTCGGCACGAGATCCTGGTGTTGACTTGAACTGAATGTTAAATTGCAGTCGTCAATTGACAACAGCCTTAGCTTGCTTAATGGGGCACCGCAAACTTATTCTGCGCGTGGTGGATATATGCTATACGAATATACGCATTGCTGCCATACATATGCTGACTTGTTAATAGCATGATAAATCAAAATCAGCGGCTAACTAAGGATTGGAAAAGAATCTAATCAAGCATCCACAATTGCCTATTGAAGAATGTGCGCTAGAAGGCTTCTCGGCTTCCTCCCGTCTCGCAATGCCATATTGTTTTTGATCAAAGGTAAGGCACGGTCAGTCTTGAAAAGATATATCCGGCGACAAGAAGCACGTGAGGAGCGTTCCAAACAGAACCACAATATCTACGGCGATGGCAAGTGTTGATACCTATCATAAAAACGAACAGATATACGTTGGCTGCAATCAGGTGAGGTACGTCACGTGACCTCTACGCGTCAGAGTAAGCAACAGCTGACTGCGTCCCACATGCAGGCGATTTCATCAACGTTGTTTGTTTCTAATGCATCATGCGTGTCCGGCCACGGAGCGCGCCGGTTCCTTCGTGCCGCATAGTGAATGGGGAATGAACACAACACGTAAAACGAGGCCAGCCTGGGAATAAATCAGTGAGGAATGCGCTGGGATATTCCCACCGGACGACAGAGTGGCCCGGTGCGACGGGCCGACCGCTCGGCGCGTGCAGCCGGCCCAACGGTCCGCTTTCTACCACGGGCCGTAAACAGTCGAACGGACGCGGCAGCTGAGCCGACCAGCCGAGCCGGACAGCAACGCCAGACAGAAGAAACGGATGGCTGAACCAGGCAGGCCGCACGTCCAGACGGTAGACACGGATGGCAGAACCAGATGGCCGATACAGCGAAATAGACGACGGTGGAACCGGGCGACATAGCAAGACTGCAGACATTAAAGCGGCAAACTGGGACAGGAGGGCCAGATGTCGAAACAGAGCAGCGGCAGGAAAGACAGGTGGGCAAACGTCGTAACAGAAAAACAGCCAAATAATCAGCAGGAGCAGGCAGGACGACCAGCCAAGGAAATGTTGTACAGTGTAACTGACAATTAATCAATTGACAGTCAACGTATCAATAATATTTTAACTAGATATCTGATATAATAAACATATCAACAATAATATAATTGACAATTAAACAGCATAATTGACAACAGAGCCAGGTAGCCATGGCAGGCAGCAAGAATCCGACAGGAGAGCCAGCGCGCAAAAACAACCAAGGAGAGAAGAAAGAACTGGTCCAGACACGGGAGGCCTCTTCAGCAGGATTGCGGCCAAACACGAAAAAGACAGGATCATTTGTACAAATCATAAGCGCCATTTAACCTCCAGAGCCATATGAAGGAGAAAGGGGAACACCCACGGTGCTTCGTTGAAAAGTAGGCCATTCAGGTCCGGCGTTCAACGCCCTCGTGTGAATTGTGCCTGAAGACTCGGAAGAGACCGTTTCCGGTGATTTGACGGGCTACAGGCCGACTAAAAAGCGGCGCAGTGACAGCGCTGTGCGCCGAAGCGTGGCGGCTTCAAGCCTGAACGCCAGGTGCTGGACTCCATCCACAGGCACGCGCGGGCCGACAGCAGAATGGCCGGGCGCGACACAAACACGGCGTCGAGACTGTATGGTACCCGATGGCAAACTGGCTAGGCACAGAGCGTATGCTGCGGAAGGCATTATTTAGTGGAAGACTATACATGTGTAGCAGTATAGGCGTGGGTGAGTTGTTCGCGCAGCACATGCCACTGCTGGACAAAACGCGGGCCAGCGTGATATCGTCAGGCTTTTCTGCCAATCGACTACCCCCACGTATTCCTACTCAGCTGCCAGACACAATGAAGGCTGTCCCGAAACGCACTGAACAGTCTGAATCTCGATCCCTCCATATCGCCCGATTACTTCCAGTAGGCGCATTTGTCTAACCGAGCGTAGAGTAACCGCTGTTTGGCATAATCTTCACCGGCCTACGAGCACGACCAGAATGGTCTTATTCAAGGGCATGGCGTGGTCACGTGACAGCGGCGGTCCGCGGCGAGCCCTGGCGCGCAGAAGGCGAGTGCCCTGCATAAATGAAGAGCTCCCCGTGCGTCCATAGATGCAGCTGACGCGGCCACGCCGGCGGCTCCGGGCGCCGTAACACAGGACCATCGGCGTAAATGAACAACGAAGTTAGTGTCTGCCACTGCCCGCAGTCCTGATGTTAGTGTAGCCATAACCTGAGCTGAGACGAGATGAAGTGATCAGGGTTGAGTCACTGCAGCCCATGTTCGCGAACTTCCGTCAGTTACCTCAACAAGGCACACAGCGCCTTGGCTGGCCGCGTCAGGAGAATAAATTTTGCTTGGAAGTGGTCTGTTTCCCAGGCTGGCAGTGCCAGAGGTATTATGTATTATGCATGCGTCTTTGCGGCTCGCTCGCGGCACGTGGCCGGACAGCGAGGCTGGCTGGCTTTACTGCCTGCACACATGCTGTACAGTTATCAGCAACCAAATATTGAAGCACCAGGTGCATCAAATCTTTTCAAAACTTCGATCGGTTCAAATGGCACATTTACTTGGACTTAATGGACTTTAAGCACTAAGCTTGAGAACTGTGATCGGAGTCGGGCGATTACGTGTGATCGGAGTCGGGCGGTTACGTGTGATCGGAGTCGGGCGGTTACGTATGATCGGAGTCGGGCGGTTACGTGTGATCGGAGTCGGGCGGTTACGTGTGATCGGAGTCGGGCGGTTACGTGTGATCGGAGTCGGGCGGTTACGTCTGCAGCAAGAAAGCTGGGAACAGATCAGGATGAAATTAGGTGCTATCGCATTGCTCATGATCTATGCGGAGCTGGTAACTTGAAAAGTCCATCAATGATTTGCCACACGAAACGCAACACGGAAAAGGTACCTGTGCTTCATCACCTCGATTCAGACAAAGCAATTGCCGCGATACTTTAAAAGTGAGGCTGACTTGTATTCAAAAGACCATGCTTCAGCGTTTGTGGCTTGCCCAACTGCAAGCAGGCCAACGGCATGGCAGTAGGGTCGAGGTGGATTGACCATTCAAACATCGAGTCCCCGCCACGTCGTAAAGGCTTTGCAAACGTACTCGCGGCTCGCTCGCAATAGCAGTAAACAGCCAGTGTTTTGCTGGGAGATGCCCGTTAACAGGTCATATATAAAAGATCAAGATGTAAACACACATATGAACTATAGCTGTTGTAATTGTTGAGAGGCCGGACAATGCTATCTCCCCGAGTACTGAGTCTCATTTACTGTAATTGTTTACTTGCAGCAGTGATTAGATTCCGGCACTGATTTTTTATGTTTCAACATTTTACAGAACGTTTATTCCGAATGGTTTGCACAGGGGGTTCTGGGCTGGGATTAAACCCCAAGTAGAACTTGTTTAGAGCACCCGGACCCCATCAGCCGAAACACAGTGAAACTCCAGCTCGACGCTGATAACTTGAACCCAGGCATTTAAACCCGACGGGAATGCGGAACATTTTTTTTCGAGCCATAGCCAAAAGACAGCTGTATACCAAGTCAGCTGGTTCTGGCCAATTTCTAGCCGACAGTTCCATTCCGACATCGACACACGTTGCACCCATGTCCGCTCGGAGACTCGCGGCCCGTGTCATTTGCTGGCGACTCCAGCATCGTTTCCTTAAACCACGGCGGTGCATTGAAAGGCATGAACGCTACAACAATGACCGAGAGGAAAGTGCGCGCGTTCGGTGAACTTCACGGATTCTCCGCATCACCCGAACGCATGTGCAGGAACTTGTACGCGACGCGGGCACGCGCCTCATTTCACTACGAATAAGGCGGATGCCGTGATAAGAATGTGATAGTCCACCGCACCAAGTCTTCCTTAGGCCTAAATGCCATTTCAAGCAGCGCATCACTCCGCTAACGCCACGTTCCGTTGATCGCGTTGCCGGTCACAGGCGGGTGCACGGACCGTTGCGACCAAGACCGCAACGAGCGCCTCTCGTGCAAATAACTGTTTCAGTGCCTGGAGAGGCCGTCAGCGCGTCGTGAGCCGGTTGTGCGCGGACGCCTGCCGAACATCGGCAGGGCTTTGCGGGGCTGAGGATCTGCGCCTTCATGGCGCGTAAAATCATGCGGCCTTGGTCCGAGCGATGGCCAGATTAGGGCGGACCGTGACGGAGCCGCTGCGCACGTACCCCAGTTTGAGTTCGACTTCATGGCGCACGGCGCCAGGCGATCGCCGGCGTCGGCTCGGTAGGCGGGCGGTGCGCCACTTCGCTCCGCACAGCACCGGTGACTCGCCGCCTCTCGCAGGCCAGGCCTCCGCGACGTGCACCTCCGCCGCCGCCGGCGGCACTCACGACCGGCGCACGCCGCCCGCCGCCAGCGCAGACTGAACCGGCCGGCCGCGCCTCCCGCCCCGCCGCCGGCCCACAACACCGCGCCGTAGCAGCCCACATGACCAGAACCGCGCGAACGCTAGCGACATCTATTGCTGACGACGGAAAATAAGGTTGTGTATTCGATATGCAGATGATAGGGCAGGCAGAGAACTCGATGCATTATCACATGCTATCTTGGAAATTCAGACTGCCCTAGGGAAGACAGTAGTGGCTAGTGAGACACCTGTGGCAATGCCGTAAGGCACGTGGGGACGTATGGCAAAAATAAACTTGTAGGCCCATGCCCCTCTCTCCAGGTTGAGCTGCTTAGTTGCCCCTCCCTCAGATGAGGCCGGGTCTCTGCGGCGTAAAACTTGGCCCAAACAGCTATCATTTTTCAGAAACACAATACATTAACAATTGCACTTATTTGCTGCCTGTCGTAATTGCACAAATAAAGGATATCAGATAACGAGGTTCATGTTTTATGCGTCGGATATATATATATATATATATATATATATATATATATATATATATATATATATATGTATATATATACAATACAAGTGCTTTGTGCTTAAGAAGTTCAAGTAACAATGGCTTAAAATATTTTCTACAAAATTGTTCGTGGCTTTCTGGTCAAATGAGGAAAAACACGCATTTCAAACAAATGCGCATCCAAGCACGTATTCGCAATCGGCGTGAATTCACGGGCACTTATTTGTTATATCGCTTAAATGTCTACGGCCTGGTTGGCCTTGCCTGGTTTTTGGGGCGGTGGTATCGTAGTGATTAGGATGCCCAGGTCTGGACCTGTCCTCACTGGGTTTTGATCATTGTCGCGCCATTACCGCATCCGAAATTGAACCTAATAAAGGCATGCCGTTTCCAAATGGCCCCGGCAGCCGGTGAGCTGTAAATACCCAATAATTACTAGTGACCTTAGCGCCCCACTAGTGACGCGTGGCCTTGTGTCGTGTAAGTTAGTGCGCTAAAATGGATTTCTTCTTAACGCGCACCCGGGCGGTCAGTTGAATACCAAACGCTCGGATGGGGGTCAATTTGCCCTCCCCCCTGTTGAGATCTCAAAAGCTAAAAGAGTTAGGCTACAAATTCACAGGATGGGTTGTTCTGTATGTTAGCGCACTTGTGTAAAATTTTAGACCCCTAGGTCGTGACCTCCGGGTCAAGTAAGGTTAAATAAGGTCAAACCCAAGATTAGTGTCCAAAGTGCTGTCAGATCTTTTCATGCAGCCGTCTTGAACCACGATGTTTTTTCTAAGCAAAAGGATGGCACGTTTGGGCAGCAGCCTTGACTGACCAATAGAAGGTAATAGCGACCAAAAACCTATGAGATTGTTTTGATTTTCGAATTTGTATAAGATTCAAGGGTTGCTCTAGGTGGTATATTCCTAAAAACTTAGGGCATTTTAGGGCGACGGACCTGACTGACCTTTAGAAGGTAATAAATCACCAAAGTCTAAGAGAATATTTTGATTTTCGAATTTGAATAAGCATCAGGAATTGCGCTAGGCGGTATGTTCCTGAAAAAAACCTGAGCAATTTTAGGTCTGTGGCTTAACCTGATCCTTGAGAAGTCCACTGAGGATGTCTATTGCTGTCCCTTTTATCAGGAAATTCGAAATGAGCATCAGAAACTGTCCCGTATTAAAAGGTCTCCAGTAATAAAGCACGATGGTTCTGACCTCGGCCTGAACTTCATTTCTGGCTGTAGATCAGTGGAATTGGTTGCAATCTTGAATTCAATTGTTCATTGTCTTTGGAACTATCTCAGATATGTATGGCTTCGTCCGACGCTCCGTTCTCGCATCAGATTGAACGATTCTCTAGAAATAGCCTTCGCTGATAGCTACGCCACTTCGACCTGGCATAGGTCAGCAAACCTTCAGGGTATCTTTAGTCATCTGATGCCAAAATACTTGCTATTCAGTTGTCTATTGGCAGTTGAACTGCCTCTGGGCGACTGACTTTAACCAAACTTTTCATAGCTGCATACGGATATGAAAAGTTTGGTTGGATCTGGCTTAGGTCACCCATGGCTCCACAACCGTCACGTCACAGAGCTGACCCAGGTCATAACGTGCCTGTCCTCTACAACCAAAGATACGTGGCGCCGAAAATGACCGTAGTGAATGGGTATGCCTACAATCCTGGGATCAAAATGGACAAAAAGGCGCATAACCTAACACACTAGCCGGACGGGTATCCTTGAGCAGCCACCGTTGTCAATGTGCGAAATACATTGGTGTTAATAGTAAGTGGCCAGCACGTAACCATGCTAAATAGTCTCTTCTCCACTAATAGACGGCTTTGCCTTATCCTCCGCATTCAAAAGGAGCGCGTTACACCAGTTATTGCTGACTCTTTCTGTTGATTAACCTGCGCCCGGCCGGGGGTGAGACAACTGCGCCCGGCCGGGGGGGGGGGGGAGGGGGGAGGTGAGACAACCGCTCTCGGCCAGGAGGAAGTTGACTTGCTCCAAGGAGCTCCAACTTTCAGACGCCGCATGAGAAAAGCACAGATATCGTTGTAAAGATCTCTTTAAATCATAAAAATGTACATCATTTTTTAACCTTGGTCAAATTTGAGGTCATCTGAATCAAGAAGGGCCGAAAACAGTCGTTCTGACAGATGCGCTTAAAACTTATGCTGGCATGTCAGGACGGATACGGAGGGCACATAAATGAGAGTTAAGGCTGTGGGTAGTCCATTCGACTATTTATTTTCCCCACAAGGGTCAGATTATAGCAGGCCACCGCTCAAAGTTGGCGTACCAATAACCTACAAGAAATATACTTTTCACTCTGTGGTTCTGACTAGGTTTATTTTATAAGGCGCAGTTGTGGGACAAAAGCTTTTCCAGACGAAAAAAATACCATTTTAGGATGACCTGGAGAACGGATGAGGTCAACTTCAGTCATACTTATAAATCATACGGCTGGAAAAAATTGAAGTTCTAGCCGAGGCTATGCAACCAGTACAATGTTTTTATATGGCCAGAAACAGGGTGCTGTACATATACATCACACATAGTCCCATCGATGTTTGTCAATATATTAGGTGGTTACACTCGTCGCACTTGTTCATCTAGTGTCTCCACTATTGACAAAATTGGTCATTGACTCCTGATGACCTCACATAATCCTCAATGTTCCTACGTGACCCATTGTGACATTCTTGTGCTTCAGAATATCACACCATGTTTCCAGTGGAGTATTACAAGTACTGCGCCTAAAGTTACCTAATACAAAGGCCTTTTTTAAGTACAGCATCTGTTCTGCAGAAGGCACCCACAGAGGTAGATCTTGACCTGGGCCAAGGTCATGTGCTTTGTGGTCATATGATAGCTCTGCATGTGAGTAAATACTCTTTTCCTCAAACAGAAGCACCAAAACTGCACAAAGATACTTACAAATCTATATGATCTATGAAAAATGATGAGCATTGACTAGACTCCAGATTTCCAGCTGCGCGTGCTTAAGAATACGAAATAAACTAACTAGGTAATATCATTTTCTGTTCCTATGTCAAATAAGAACAATGGCGAATGACCCAAAAATAGTTATTCGTGGTCAAAGCTTTCCAGAGTTTGACCTCTATAACTTGACCTACGTCACTGATCCTGGTACATCAAACCTATGTTTGAACGACAAATGACCCACAACAAAGTTATTGGTGGTCAAAGTTTTTCAGAGGTTGACCTCTTTAACCTGACTTTGGCCACTGATCTTAGTACTTAAAACTTGGAAGTTGTACAAAGTGTGCCATATTGCAAGATGAACGGGTACTGAAAATTTCGTGCTACTGCAGGCGTTCATTTTTGACCCATGCTTGAAAAACCGTAGGGGCGAAGTCTACCATCCCCCGGCCGGGCACGGGTTAGCTAAGCCGCGCCTGGGTGGGGCTGATCACAGCTACCTGAGTAACTATATCACATTTCGGAGCGATACCACCTGACTGCGGCATATGACTACCATGCTTCGGTCCGAAAGCTAACGCTCGGAGATGTACAACACAGTATCGTGTATGCACCTATCAATGCGTTCCCTCCTAGGTCAAGCCAAACACCTATGAATCAGCACGCCCACCACCAGTCACTGTGGCGTGCGTGAAAATGAACCCCGAAAGAGAAGAAGCAGCTTTTCGAGTGCATTATTCCCATGCATCAGCGTAGGACCTGTACCGTAGTCACCGAAAGTGTGGTAGCATGTACCACGGCATGTTCCTGGATTCCAGGGTTGGATCCAAGATCTTATACGGCTCCATGTTAATGGGATCCTGGATATTTTGGGGGCTCCCGGCACAGGTCTGGTACCTAGAGCACCGGCCCTGTTCCTAAGCCTCGATATCCTCACTCGGGGTGGGCGTCACCCAGGCCAGTAGACACTTACCGTCCGGGCCGACAGAGGGTGCTGCTGGCAGCCTCGAGTTCAGGGTGGCGCCACTGTCGCTCCGAGGCGGCTCCTCCTCGCTGTCGGAGACACGGAAAATAATGCACGGCACAGCGCCACCAGCCGCCCCAAGCTCGTTGCATGAGCCGATGGTCACGCGCAGAATGACGTTTTCACAGCTATAGATTTCGTGCGCGGCGGCAAAAAAACAAACAGGGACGCGAAATGAAAAGCTACTGGGCACGATTCCCCATTCGTCATTGCGCTAGGTCACTGTTAATTATTATCAAACAACAGTGTCCACATAATGCTATATAGCTAGTGCTTTTCTGAAAAAGCCAACCATACATGTTTCATCGATGAAAAGGTTCCGAAAGGCAAAGCCCTGCGTGCGATACACAACGTAACCAAACGCCTTGATTTACCTTTCACTGGTGGCAACCATCATGGAGCGTTTCCTGGGCATGGGCGTGGGCACATAGTTGGCCAGTTTGTCTTCAACGACAGGTCCACTGATTGGGAGATCATCAACACCCTTTTTAGCGTTGTCGGAAGATGGAGC